GTTGCAGTTACAGTAACCCTGATTCTTCACGCCCTTCAGAGGAGGAGAGGCAAAAACCTGGTGGAGATGGGTGTATCGTTCGAAATTGGACAGCCACATTCGATGAGATCTTATCAACACTGAATGCTTTTGAGATTATCCATCCTCAAAGCGTAGCGATACCAAACTGATACAAATCATTTACATCTATCAAATCGTCATCGAAATATCCCCAAAATTTGCTAATCTTCCACGACAATGCTTTAGATACCATGCTGATTTTTTGCTTTCATACTCTAACAGTGAACATCGGCAGCTTCGAGCACATAAGCCACAAAAGTTGTTTTCAGCAATAAAATTACTAGCATCATCATTCAGACGTTTAGACGATCCCTGTTTTGCAGCATCATTATTCTGAAGACATTGACGAATCTGATGAATCGGGAATGATCAATTGAGTGCTGTGGTTTATAAGATTAAGGCAAGTGAATTTATCAGAAAAACAGTGATTGTTATTGACGACAGTAAGGATGAGGATAGCTGATTAGTGCTGAACACGCATTAAGGCCGTTGAGCTGGGAAATGCTTTAATGGGAGAAGGCTGAAAAGGCTGAAAAAACGGAGATGGAGATGCATTGTGCTGCTGCTGCTGCTATCAGAGTATACTGAGAAGAGCAAATGCAATTGGCGCACAAATTAAGTGTAATAAGCATGTATTTATTTATATTGATGTGTTTCACTAAGTGACTGTAAGTATCATCAATTTGAGATCAGAATGAGATTCGTTCCACCACCTTCACAATAAATTTAATTTGCTTGAAAGCTATACTTCTTCGTTGAAACTGCTGCTGCTGCTGCTTTCAGTTTCATCCAATTTGACTATCTTAATGGGTCTATCATTGAATAAACACATACGCAGATTGTCTCATTGCTCACCACTTAAAGCGCTCTTCACTTAAGCTAGTCACTCATCTTCACTGCACTCCCATCAATAAGTGAATCATTTTCTGTTTTTTAGACAACTAAAATTGATGGGTTTTTTTTTCACTCAGTCGAAAAAGAACGAATAACTGAACATCTCAACGGAACACTGAAATGAACACCATTCTGGAAATAACAATGAAACAGCTCGATAATCTCGATACTCTGACAAGATTGCATGCAACAACTTCATCTATTCATTTATTCAATCAGCAAATCCAACAACTTCATTATGAGCTTCAAAAAGTGTTGCGTCGTTGTATGTTTTATCAGTTTGCAATATAATAGCATCAAGTATCATCGATTGATGCTTTCATGAAAACTGTTGCTTCCCGTTCTTCTGATGTGCACTGTAGACAGGTAATTGAACGAGTAGAGATCATTTATTTTTTTCGTAATGCGAGCACGACTGAACGTAAATCAAAGTGAGGTATTGTATCGAGTTCAGAGATGCATTAAACAGTAACCGACACATTAGTATGCGTTAATTGTGATTGATAANGATTGATAACTGCTAAAAGGCACCTGCAATAATGGCACACCACCATCGATACTATGAAAACTGCATGAATTGCCTCAGTCACCGGTTCAGACAGGTGTAACCATTATTGCATCCAAATGCAATAAATTTCGCTGATTGCTGTCGTTTAATTATTGTGCCAATCACAAATCCAAAATACGTCCAAGCAGTGATCAATTTACTTACCTTATCAGCGTTAAACCTGTGAAAAAATGCTCATTGCAATCACAACAATCCAAGAGTGAATCTGTCAATCTCACATTTACTGAACGTTTGGCAGTTTTCTTTTTGGGTTTCTAATTGTATGTTGAATCAAAAGCGATCATTTGCATCGAAAACTTGTCATTAAACGTGATCATTACTTCACTTGCGTATCCTTTTCCAAGGGCAAAACACTAGTGTGCAACATCGATAGTTAGGAGACTGCGAGAAGACGGCACTCATTTATTTTTAATTAAGTGTGTTGATGAACCAAAGAAATCACTTCTTGATGGAAATGACGATGGAACTTTCAGCGAACTTCTATGAGAGCTGAGGCATTTCCTATCGTTTGAATTGCTATTTGATCAACTTTTTGATCAGTCATAAACAAAATCAGTTCACTATGAGCAATAATCCATGCATGCACTTGAAATCTTTGCTTAATACGACTCATTACCCTTTACATTATGCGATGATACAGTAATTCATGAGTTATTACAAAGATTGTGTCATAACGCAAAATTGCGTGGCATTGTTCCTGTAATTAAGCGATTCCCCAAAAAAAATCAAAATTATGCGCACTGATGCGAATAATAGCAGTAGCAGTTATTGTTCGAGGTAAGTGGATTGCTGTTATACATACGTAAACATTATCACACAACTGCACGTTGCATTGATTGCATCATAATTGAAATTTTTGGCGAATGAATTACTCGAATGGCTTATAAATTGGATAATTACTGATCTTGATAGCAAATCTTAATGAGACAGACACACAGCAGTATTAACGTCTAATCTGATTATATAATACAACAACATTCGACTTTTTTTCAGCACGATTCTCAAATTTAGTTATGAAGCATTTGAATCGTATGGTGATTTCAGCACGATTCTCATGAAGAATCCTCCTAATCAGCTTTCAGAACGATTGTTCAACGAGATTCACTCATCTGATAGTTGCAAAAGAAAGCAACACGATTATGATTGATTGCATCATGGAAATTTGATTCCAATTTCAGAGATTCATACTATTATACTCTTAACTGACTAGAACATTGTTTCGATTAAGAATATCAACACACAATATGCAGTTGAATCATAAGATAATTGAAGAAGACGTCTCTCAAAGAGTGTCATTCTAAACAACACAATTTGATCGCTATTATTACAACAATACGCTCATGAGCATGCAATAAATATACTGCTTACATCCTTCTGTCGACAGAAGGATATCATCACGATGAGTGTCATCATCATGAACGCGGTTTATTTCAAACGGACACACAATACAACTCAAAAAATCACGCTCATTCAGCGAACGCAAAAACAGTTGATCGATTTGATTGATATGTGATTGTAATGAGGAGTAATTCACTGGAAACAAAGAAGCTGAATGTCTGCCCTTTCATTAACATTGTATTGTCTTTGCTGGATATTGGAGTGCGAATTGAGCCTACATTAATTGACAAAAAATCTGAAACGAATGCTAAACTTAATCGGTTCGAATTCAATATTTCGGATTCAATCAACATATTACGGCTCCAAACCACAATCTTTGTTAAGTGCGATCGACTTGGCAAATTCTTAAATTGAATTAAATTGTTCGTAACGATCAAGCTACATCGAACCCACTTGAAATTCAAAGTGTTCGCATCCAAATCCAGTCACCTTCTTAAAAATACCTTCAATTAGGAATTGAATGAGGAGGAGTTCGTCGTAATCATCACAAATCCCATTCATTATATCCATTCATCTGTCCGTAATGTTCAGTTCTTGTTAGAGTTCACACCAGCAAAGCAAATGTAACGAAAGAGATCAATTTATTCATAGAACACCATATCGTTGATACAATGATTGCACGGAATTAACCGTATCACAGAAATGTAAACAAAATGAACATGTTGATTAAAGCATCTCGATTCGGAAATAGAGACGAGTAGTCGCCGATGACTGGTAATGGTTTTCGATGAAATTGTACGAACGGATTGAAATNAGTGCCAGCAACACGAGTGTGCTGCTTTCATCCAGCAGTGAGACACCCAAAATTTCATGAACATTTTACTCTTGGTTTCGTACATTTTCCAAAACCTATGAACAACACTAATTTAATCTGATAATCGAGAAATTATCTATCTTCTCTTTTACCTCATATCATCTTTCGATAGAATTAAAGAAAAATTACATTGTTATTTTTGATCACTGTTGACGACAGAATAAAAACACATTCCTCATATTAACTCAATTACACGAATCAACACAAGCAACAAGCATAACTGGTAACGTAAAAACGTATTGAAAAGCATTACACAATTAATCCAAAAGTAAAAAGTACTCATATGAAGCTTAGTTAATTTCTTCCCTATGATCGGTATTGGATGGTTTTTTGAGTAATGGATTAGATGGGGAATGTGGTAAGTTGATTGCAAAAGCATTATTTGGTGGAATTTGAAACGGGAACATAGTCAACGAGAAGTTTGTTGGCGTTGTGGCACTGGTTGGTGTGGGTGACGAGGTTGACGTGGTGGTGGTTGTAGAGGGTGTTGAGGAGGATATTATGGCCATATTCGAAGAGGGCATAGCCGGTGGCATTGGTGCGGTTAAAGGCGATGGTATGGGCATGGATGAAGCGGCAGCAGCCGCTTGAAGTGCGTTCATTGATAGCGCTCCTTGAAGGGTGGTTGCGTTCACTGAGTTCATTCCACCACCGAACGAAAACAGTCGAGGATGCGTGAACGAGTTCGCCGCCATGTAATTGGCCCAATACGGATTGGTTCTTAAGAGCTGCTGAACTGCGGCCACATTCGATGCTTCGTTGAGCAGGTCCATCCCGACCGCAGCTTGTCGCTTCCACTTCGTTCTGAAATTTATCAACGGTGACTGAGTACAGCAATAAATGCGAACTTCAAGCAAATATAATCACAACACAAAATATTTGTTTACGGTAATATCGACGGTCACACATCTACATTATTTCAGCAATGAATTATGCAGGTTTTTATTTGGAACAGTTGCAACGTTGCTTTGCAGTGCACAGAAAGGAATTGGAAAAAATGAGCGTCATAATTCTGATAAATCTGACGAGGGTATTTCATACCGAAAGGTCATTTTCGTATTCGCGAGTAATATCAAAACAATAGAAAAAAAGATTTTCCTCAGTTTTGCTTTGCTCACCACAGAGAAATGGTTTCAACTGTTCTGAATAACCACCTTCTCACTCCATCAATGTTTATTTTCTTCAATCGAATCCTCACATCTGTTCTACCTGTGAACTTCTCAGTGTGTGAACACTCGTCACATGGTCGTTCATCATAATTAAAAATTATGCAACATAGACAGCAGTGAAAATATTCGTCACTCATTAGTGCTCAATGCTCAGTGACCAAAGAAATTTCCTCACTACCAGTTACTGCATTCATACTCCTACTCAATACAATCATTTTCACTATTTTTGCGCTCACTTCGGAACCAAACTCATGATTTTCGGTTCTGGCTGAGTCAGTCCACTGCAGACATTGTTCCCTACTTGCAGTTCATACTTTAACGTTTCCATCATTTTAGTGACTCCATATGATATTTTGCATCAGACTTTTATTGCATGCAATGAGAATTTTCCAATACTAAAGTACTTATATGAAATGCGTGCTGAGAAATACGGAGTTCGAAATAATGTTGCCTTCAGTGAGACATTGTAAAGTAATACGATAGGTTTTAGTCATGCGGTGGGAAGGTGGGATTTGTGCTGTTATAACAATCTGAAATATTAATTTGTGTTTGTGCAAAAAAAGGAAATGAGAATTAGATAATTATTGAATGAATGAAGCAATTGAGGTGGATAGTTTGTGCAGTGAGTTGAGAAAGAAGAGGATCACAATTGGGCAATTACAAAGCAGCAGCCAACCACCAACCGAAGCGAACAATCCTATCGCAGCATTNATTCTATCGTTGAATTTGTTCATTGATTAATTATCGTGCCCTCATTCATCCAAACAATGCATGTTTGTGTTAGACAACTATTGTTGACTCTTGATAAATAGATGATGTATGCATAGATAAACATATAGATAGCATATCTCAAGTCAACCGTGTTCTTATTAAATTAATTAGTTATTGTGCATTCATTCAATCTTAACCTATTCTCTTAAAAATCCATTCAACTCAGCCATTAATCCCTACTTCATTGCTCACTTCTCAACAAACCGATTCACTTAGTGTTACCGTATCACTTGACGCATTTGTTTCATTACCATAGTAGTCATGCATATTCTATCCAAACATATATCACGTAATCTTCATGATGTTGATTGCTCATCTGAGTGGTTATATTCTATGTGAATGTAGCATATCAACGACATTTAATCTAATTTAACCGAATGCGGTCTGATATTTGGATGCTACAAAAATGATGAGATACACGAAAAAATAATGAAGACAACAGACAGAGATGAATGGGCGATATTCAATAAACAATTAACAATTCACTATTCATCTTCAATAGTGCAACAATGACATTTGATGAGAGTAGTGTTGTACTGGTGTTGCGTGTCATTTGATGTTATAACGATTATCTTGCATCCAATCTTCATTCTGTTTTTCCTCAATTATTCATGTCTTTTACGTACACATTGTGAACCAATTTACATTGTTATCACCTCACACTTAAATCAACGATCTTAATATTCCTTTTGCTACATTTCTGTGCAATTTTCTTGTTCACAGCGATTATTTCAAAGTACATTCATTGTGAAGAAACTGTAAAACTGAAACAAGCAAAACGACCTATTAGAACAAGGAAAATTCTACAATTAAAAATATTATGAAAAATTTGAGTCAAATGGTTTATGTGAAGTGAGTTCATTGAATTTAAACAGAGATACGATAGACTCAGAGCAGTAATTGTGTGCAAGGCACCAATATTATGAGTGGAGAACGATACGAAAAATGCATCTTTTAAGAGCTAACACATATCGATTATTTCAAAGTACATTCATTGTGAAGAAACTGTAAAACTGAAACAAGCAAAACGACCTATTAGAACAAGGAAAATTCTACAATTAAAAATATTATGAAAAATTTGAGTCAAATGGTTTATGTGAAGTGAGTTCATTGAATTTAAACAGAGATACGATAGACTCAGAGCAGTAATTGTGTGCAAGGCACCAATATTATGAGTGGAGAACGATACGAAAAATGCATCTTTTAAGAGCTAACACATATGAGAATGCAACTGAATGTTAAGTTTGAGACTGTGCATTTTTTTCTTCGATTAAGAGAACACAACATTCTTTTGGTGAAGTAATCACCGAACTTCATCGTAAACTCGACCAAACATATGAAACTCGAACAAACATAGAAAAAGGATGTGCAGCAAGATTACTATAATCAATTAATTGAACATTGAGCCTGACCACATTCTCGCATTCAATTTTCAAGAATTCAGTTTGATTCCTGATTGAGTTTGAAACTTCTTCAGCTTTTGTACTCAGTAGCGCACAAGAAACTTATTTCTTGTGCCCTGGTGAGTATAACTTTATTGTCACCGATTGCTTTATCTAAACCCTCGAGAATGACTACTCACTCTAGAGAATTTTTTGTTCACCGTAAAAAATTTGATGGAATCAACAAACGAACCGTCTATTTTGATACCACGTCTTCACTTGTGTGTCCGACAAGCCCATTCTTTGCGCTAAATCCATGCGATCTTGAACACTGAGATATTTTTGCTTGTCGAATGTTGCTTCCAGTTCCTGAACGAGAAATTCCCATTGTCAATAACAAAACAAACAGTCACGAAATGATGATCATGAAACTCATTAATATTATCCGATCCAATAATATTCTGAAGCAGTAGTGAATCGATATAATTTTGTTTTTTTCTGTCAATCCTAAATGTAACAATATCATTTGTTCGTTGAATGTATTGGAATCGGTTCTGGTCCCATACTTGATTTGAGCGGATAGCATTCTGCCCTCTGGCGTGACGAAATTTCCAGAGAATGTGACAAAAGCTGCAGGAAACGTATTTAGACGTGTCAGAATCCCTAGCACTTATTTTCTGGTATGCAAAAGTAAGGATACATGAGATGAAGATCTCCTAGATAAGTCATGCTTGTATTTCAAATACTGTAAACGAAAAAATTGAGCTGATCGACGGTCAAATAACGTAATTATGTTATCACTGAAGGACCCTGACTACAAAATATCCGTGGTTCGCACTTTCACTAAAAATTCAATGAGATACCCTAGAAAGTCATCATAGTTAGGACTGATCAGTAGATCAGAACCTGACAAATAAGTTCATAAAAGTGATTCAAAATTATGCTCGAATTCAACTGGTCGGTTGTTTGCCAAAGGCGAATGAATCAATTAAGACGTTAGCTACGTTCTACATTGATAAGAAAGGTAGATTTGTGGGAAATTCGTGGACAAAATCACTGCCCACTTCATATCTTCATCATAAAAGCTTTCATTTCCAGCAAATGAATTGCAATTGTTTCCACTAGCTGAATGGTAATTAATTAAGAGATTCTTCTTATAACATACTTGCAGTTGTTTGTCAGTGAAGATGGTTCGCGCCTTACGTGCCTTCTTACCACCGTTTGCCGACGACTGAGGACTTGTAACGGATCGATGCGATTCAGCTGATCCACTGCGCTCTTCCTCACCCACCGATGAAGACTCTTAAAATACAAAAATTGTTTTCCACTTACAACTTCTGCTAAGAAACGATAATGCAAAGTTGTGATGACTGTTGAGTATGAATGATGTGTTAAATGATTGTTCACTTATTCTGGGCATTCTCAGCCAACAATACATTGAAATGATGCAGCACATGCAATTTACCAAATATTCACTCATAACCTCTTTAAAAAATGAATTCCTATCGACATAAACCCCAATGGAAGAGTGCCCACGGCACCGGATGAAAATTTCGATACGAACGTGAATATTATCGAATGAACGTATCAGAGTCGTTGCATGTATATATTATGGTTACTGTTATACATCAATAACGAGTCAATCTTAAGAAGTGATCGCATTCATGCTAAAGAAAATGAAAATGGGTGAATTCTTGGTCGAGGATGCGTCACATAAAAACGCTCTTTGAAAAAGATATGCCCTGTGATGATTTTACTCGTTACGAGTCATATGATGTCAAGACCTAGCATATGCCCTGTGTTGCACATTCGCTGTGTCGCGATCAGCGGTCTCCGCACAGTTTGAAAATTTATACAATCTTGAGGAAGAAAATTTCAGTTTACATTAGAGAAATGTGCTCAATTTTCAGGACGACTTTTCAATTAGAGCAAGAAGAGCAGTGCCGAAAGGGGATGTTCGAATAATTATTGGGCTAATAAGCGAGATCAGAGAACGACCCTTGATTGATTGTCCATCACAGAAACATTAACTTCATTTGCTGACATTTGACGGAGAGATGAAATGAAGTTGCACATTCTTAGCAACTAAGATTCATAAATACATACTGTTTTTAAACTCGGAATATTAGGTATGTTCTACTTGACTTTTGGTAAAATGAGTGTTCTACTTGATCATTACAAGAGAAAAATTAGTTTATGATGTGAACACACCTAACAATTGACATAAAAATTAACGATAGTTTGTCTTTAAAGTGCTCATATTAGTAAAGCACTTAACTTCTCATAAGTTCACAATTTCAGTGAACTGATTGCTCGTTCATAATGAATGATTGTTGTTTGATAGTTCCCACAGTTGTTAATGGTATCATTCAAGAACTGAGGATGACAATTTGTGAGCAAGTAGTTTTCAAATATGACAACGATATTCTCATGTATTCACATCTAACTTCCGGTGGGAATGCTAATTCACAAAAACATTCTGATGAAGACAATAAAAACGATAAGTGCGAATGTGATGATCGTTGAGGTGAGAGGTCATCGCTCACTCATTATTATACGATGTACACTCGATTATTGTGTTATTGTAGTGTAGCGGAAAATGATACGATAGAATAACAAATATGGGATGAACACTTTGTTAATGCGAATAAATCCATTTAAGAGGGACACAGAGCGAGATAATTTTCCGCGCGAACAGAAGCAAATTAGTGGATGCATTTGTGTATTGTATTGTTGGTATTATAATGCGATCAATGAGCTTGAACGATTGAAAAACGATTCAATTTTGGGCAATTTAGAGAATTTTGGTGATTTGTGAAGTGTACGGATTGTATTGTGTTAGATAGGGACAGAACACGGATTAACGCATCAATGCGTTTGTTGGGACGACAGGTGGGCGAGACGACTTTTTGCTGATATACCTGCGTATTACCGAATGAGCATGCACTATGATAGGCATATGCGGAGTTGGAACAGAAACGTGCATACAGGCGATATAGTTGGTGATTCACATCCTATCAAGCTTTCCTCAAGGACAAATCCCCTCATCATTTATTATATTGTCTATCCGGCTCGGATCCATCACCGATTAAACCGTCATATATCCAATATGTCACATTGTCTTATAACTACCTCAAACCGTTCAAGTGGTTCTATATCTTATCAATTGTACGCTATAAAAGTCAGATTAGCGTGAAAATAATAATAATTAGGTTCACTTGAGGGTATTTATCTCATAAAATGACGTTAAGGTAACGAGAAGATCATGTCATGAAGAGTACTTAATCAAGTGTGCTTTGGTAGCCTGAACATGAAATTAATCCGTCATTATATGATGAACGCATCGTTCATTATCTCTCCTAATGAGTGCACCTGATTGGTTGTTTCGCAATAAACTACAATATCAAAATTTTTAAAACTAATTTCTTGGGAAAACGTTCACCCTAAGAGATCTCAACGTTCGCTTTAAATAAACAGGCCCTGTTGTTTCATGATTCAACTCAGGATGGAGCAATAATGATCGTGATGAATATTCAGCAACAAATACTGATTGATTGTTATTGGAAGGTTTGGTGAGGAATTATAGGACTAGGTTCTAGAGGGTGCTGCACGAGTGTTTCTTTTATGAAAATTGCATAAACTTTGCTGCACAAATTTAATGTTGTTCAGTGCTATTTTCCAGCCTAAAAATGCCACGCAGTCACTGGCTCAAAACCGATACATCAACACACCATTTGTTGATGTGTGGACCATGGAAATGGCTATCTAAGTTTGATGCCGTCATAAAGGTTGCAGGCATTTTGATCTACGTTTGATTTCTTGTCACTATAAATCTTAGAATTGACAACACTGAATATTTCCTTACCATGTTCACCACTTGTGTTCGCTTTCTCTTCGGAGGATTCGAGAATGTTCGATATTCGAAAGGAATTACTTAAATTCATCTTGCCCGCTGCACTGTTTTGGGCTCCAGGTGGTGTGCCTAATAGTGCTATTGTTGATGGGTCAATGTTGTAAGCAAACGGATTGATGAAAAGTTGACGTGGGTCGAGCATATTCATTTCTTGTGCCTGACGATAATTAGCCTGAAATTAGTTGAACTTGGAAGCTACGAATGATTGGTTCCAGTGGAACCATTAAAGAGCCATTCAGGCTTTTATTCGATTTATGAGTGTACGTTATTATGAACATATCAGTTAATATCAACCGATAATGATAATCGAATCATGGGTTAACACTTAGCAAACCCAATCTTATAATCAAGTAACCAATAGCTCAGTGATTATTGGCTGATTCGATTACTTCACGATGTTACGGATTTATGCTGCTTTTCACCAATAGCACTCAAAATGTTCACCGCTCGCGTACCCTTCTCTCAAACTTTCATTCTACCCATTCTTCATCAACATTTTCTACAATAAGCTGGTCGATNAATTTGTCTCATGTTGTTAACAAAACTCATTCTGAGTAACTATTGAAGCAGAAATTTTAAAACTGAAAAAGGATTTGAGAATTAAATGATAGTGGAGTATTCTGTAAATCGTTACAGAACTATTCGAACATCCGAACAATATTCAAGCCAAAGAATTTCGTTCTGAATTGAAAGCGCTGAAAAATGGCCGAGTAAACGATTAAAGTGGAATCAAAAAGAAAATAAATTGGTGTGATTAACGACGACGAATACACCGTAATCTTGGTCTCCTGCGAGTTTCGTTTGTGCTACTCGGAGTGAACGAAAGGAGTAATGCATACTAGGCGTTTAATGTCTAGATTCGGATCTAATAGGCAATGAATTGGGCGATACCGATGCAACTAAACGTATTAAACACTCAATCAAACGTCCTCATTGGCTGCTAGTTATCGAATGGGCGTGTCAATCATAATAGTGGTGTTATACGGTTGTATTACTACGCTCTCTTTATATCTCTTCGTTTTAATTGTTCTGAATTTATTGTTGTTTGTGAAGATCTATTTAATGTACTATGTGTAAGAAACATATGAGATGTAAATGTATGTTTATTATATCCGGACGTGTATAGTACCCGTTTACGTTATTACTGAAATGCAATTATCACATTTCGAATCGATTCTGAAAAAAGGATTCGCCACACATCATCAGATAGAGACACTTCGAACATGCAACAAAACGCACTCGTCCTCTGTTCAATCTGACGCGGTGTGCAATAATGACGAAATTAATGCACTCAACCTACAACTTAATCAGATTAAATTTTTAATTGGACAAAATTACGCGCTTAACGCATGAGCGCTATTCTTCATTGACTGTCATACCACTCAGTGATGAGCGAGTCTGAAACAATAAAATGACCAATTTCCATCGATGTTAAAGGCATTTATCTTCAAACGTATTACGGATGTCAAAATAAATCTTAATATTCAAAAACATATTGCATTGTGGAAGATATTCNCAAGCTGAAAGATCCACATCGTCAATCTTGATGGCATTGAAATAGAATTATACAAGTATTTGAACTCATCTATTTCAGTTCATACATTGTCATTCTGAACAGAAAACAGTACTTGTCATGTTTTCCATTTGCCACCGTAACTACCTCAAAGCTCATTTTTTTAGTGAAGACGTATTCTCATTAGATTTTGCCGTGGAGTGCAGATGACTGCTGAAATGACGAAGAATAATTGCCGAATAATTTAAACTCACAATAGCACATTTATCATAAACCTCAACAAAATGTTTCCAAACGACATTCATAATTCATAATGACACAAATTATGCGTCTCAGTAAATTGCACGAAAACATTATGTATGATGTTGATGACTCTTTAAAAGCATTTATTTTTCTAACACATCATTATCACCATTGTTATTTCATTTCATATTCAATTTATGAAACTCGTTCGCTGAAATTCGTTCACAACATCAATCCTTCACTATTCAACATACAATTACCGTACCCTTCAGTGCTCGTGCTGGTGCTCGAGCGATTTATTTTATTGGCACAAGGAATGACGAACGATGATGAGTGCCTTAGAATTCGAGAACTCTTAATCAAATTGCTGCGAGATCTGCCATAATTGCACACAAATTGTTGCCATTAAAATCGATCAGTGTGACCAAAAACTTAGAATTTTTTTTTGTTTGTTTGTAGAAAATGGCTTTCTTTCGATCTGGGCTAATTGCAGGCGGTTAAGGACTGTGATTGAGCACTTCTTTTTTTTTCAACAAATTGCGATCTTTTCGAATAAAAAGTGCTCAAAGGAGCGATAAAGTTTTGCCTTATCTACCGCACGACGAGCGTCCTTGTGAAGCTATCGTGATGAACGGTGACGATGGCGTGATGTGAGCATGAACAATGAATGAGCACTTCATGTTCATAAGCATGAGCAAGCGTGCTCTCGACGAAATTAGAAGTACAGTTTTATCGAGTAGAGCAGTGAACGAACAACTCTGAGCGAAAATCTGATTGTGAGCATCGAGCACAACCAACTCGGAAATTTTCTTTGTGAACACCGAATGAGCTGATTGCGGGTCTTTTTTTTTACAA